TTTTAATCCCAAAGCATACTTGTGCATAAGGATCGGACTACGTGGTTGAAAGGTCATGAGTTCAATTCTAAACCATTGGTGGGGTTTCGAGCCTAATATATAACCCCAATAGGGTGTAGTGGCCACTATAGGGGTATCAACGTTAGCAGAAATATAGAACTAAGCTAAACGATGAAGTCCTATGTGCAGTGTGAGACAATAAAGATGGTGGGGTGTTTAGAGCTACAATGGCTCTTCAACGCAGTAGGATAATAGTATATAAGTTGATGATGCCTCTTATGGGGAGAGGGGGTATTTATAGCAAGAGGTGATGCCTTATTTGTGTGAAAGAGTGAATTAGGTCAACTCTACTGGAAAAGAGCCAAATGTGTCATGTTTTGCTGTGGCAATGCACTTTGCAACTCCTTTTACACTGGTAACAGTTAATGGTGCAATAGTTGTGTAGGAGGATATCTATTTAAGGGATCTGGAAAGGCTACAAGAAGGAGGGAACGTTCCAACACAATAACATTATGGTGTTTTACGTTGGGAAATTGCCATAATAGCAGAATTGATGCTCTGGGCTAACCGATTGGGCTAACTGGAACAATTTCTTATGCAAAATACTTTGAGACTGGTGATAAAAACCGTAGACTCATTCCAATGGACGGGGACACCCCTGCGCAAGCAAAAAAGTTTTATATTCTATTGTCTTAACCAGTGTTATGAAACCCGGACCGACCCGGGAACTGGTGAACTGGTCATATAACCGGTCCGGTTGAAGCAACAAACCGGTTATGCATCAGAACCGGTGCGACCCGGCCGGTTTTCATGAAAACCGGTGACCCGGCCCGGTTCCAAAAAAAAAATCATAATGGTCATATTTGAATATTTTTTTGCTTATTAACTTACCTAAGTTATGTACCTGCAACACTAATATTATCTCAATTATGCACTAGGCAGAAAATTTTGATTTGATTTATAGTTAAAGATGTCGTTTTCTTAACCTAAAGTCCCATGTCACGATCATTATATTTTTGTTTGTTTTTATTGGATAATAATATGTCATTTATTATTTTTTATATTAAAGTATTTGAAATTTTTATCATTTTTTTTGATATTTAAGTATGTTTATAATTTTTTTAATATAAATTATAAAATTGCATATAATTACCGGATCATACGGTTGAACCAGTAACCCACTGGTTGAACCAGTGATCCAGTAACCCAGTATCTCAACCAGATCAATTACCGAGCCAGTTTTAATAAGATTGTTCTTGACCTATTGACTACTTTGTTATAAAACTGCATTTATTTAGATGTCCATTTAAAACCACCAGTTTTTTACACGAGTGCCGCCGCCCACGTGGATAACACAGACTCGCCCAAACAGCACATACCTAATTATGTTAATTGCCTTCTCCAAAAGCAGAACGAAGTATTTAAATTTATTTTTAAGAAAAAAAAACACCACTTGATTGAATCTGAGAACAACATTTAACCGAACTCGCCATGTCTCATCCGCCCTTAAAAAAGTATTTTTGCATGCGGTGCAGTTATTTATTCAATAATCTACGTATGTATTACAACTTTCATAATTTAATTATAGAAGAAAATAAGACAATCTTATGTAATTAAAAGTTCATGGTTTGAATTTATAAAATAATTATATAAAAAAAGAATATGTTTCTCATGTTTGTTTCATACAATGCATAAAAAAATGAATGAAAATTATGAAAGAGATAAAGAAAAAAGTGAGTTTCACTCATTTTTGTGTGTATTACATAAAATAATTTTCTCTCATCTATTTCTCAATAATAAAGCTGAAAATAACAATTTCCCTCACCAAACCCCGGGGAGTGGTTTTATGAGGAAATAAAATATTTTATATTGTTATATCTTCCACTGTATTTTTAAAACTGGACTTAAATCCAATAAGAATAAAGCATGACATAACGGTTTGAAAAGTAAGAGAAGATTATATTTATTTTATATGTAAACTTTTATCTTGAGATATATAGGCTCACATTGATTGGATGAGCAACTAATATGGCCTTTATAAGGTCTTGGACACTCTCATCTTTTGAGCTAGCTTTTGGAGTAGTGTATCTCAAGGTTCTTAACATGGTATCAGAGCTTGAGTGACTATAAGGTCACGAGTTTGATTCTCACGGTCCCCCACTTTAAAGTGGAATTAAAAATAAAAAGCACAAAAAGATAAACTAAAAATTGGGTCTGTGCAATTTCGAGCTAGCTTTTGGGGAGGTGTCTCCCAAAGTTCTTTACATGGTATCAGAGCCTCACCGTCCCCCGCTTTAAAAAGTGGAATTAAAATAAAAAAAAAGCACAAAAAGGTAAATCAAAAATGGGCCTGTACAATTTTCACGCTTCTAGCCTAAGGAGGCTCTTGCATGAGGGAGCGTGTTGAGATATATAGTCCCACATTGATTGGATGAACAACTAATATGGTCTTTATAAGGTCTTGGACACTCTCATCCTTTGAATTAGCTTTTGGAGTAGTGTATCTCAAGGTTCTTTACATCTTACAAACTACATTATGTCTATCGATCATATTTCAATCAAATATATATAACGAATTAAACTTGATGTGTAATTTATAAACGGATGTTTTTCCGGAAATGAAAATAGCAGCAATAAGCCAAGATAACAAGAACATCGGCATCAATGTGGGCCATATGCACCGAACCGTCGAGTCATAACTCGAAAATAGTGGTGTCTTGGTCCTGTCCTTATCGATCCATGGACACCATGTTGCTTTGTTCTTTATACCCACATGTGGATCGGGATATGATTTATTCATACCTGGTCTGGGACCATGAGAATGACCAGAGTTCAGAATTTTTGACCTTGTTTTATTTTTGCTATTCAGAAAACAATTGTTTTTAATAAAATGTAATCACAAAAAGTTAATTTTTATTTAATTTAATTTATAATTTATTTTAAAAAAAATTAAGAACACATTTTTATTATTAATTATTTTAATTTGTTTTCATAAATCCTAAGTGGAGCCGCTAATACTTTAAAGTTTTCAAAATTTATTTTTAATATTTTTATTCTGAATTGATTTCAAAAAATATCATGAAATATTTATTTTCAAAAATAAGAATAAAATCAAACAGGGGATATGTCTCCCATTTCACCTCTCTATTTTGTTATTTTATTTTATTTCTTTTATGAGCTTTACAAACACACCTTACTATATATCTCTCTTGCGAATTCCATGAATGGGGATATAACAGTATTGACATTTTTTTGGTGATTATTTATGGAAGCCAACCCATACTCAACCATAAAATGATAAAACTTTATCTGCTGTAGGAATATAAAATAATTTATTGAGCACGTTAATATCCGAAAAAATATATCTCAAACTGTTTGAAAAATATTATATATATATATATATATATATTTACAAAAACACATCTTATACTTATTACTCACATAAGCAAAAATAAAAAGAATAAATAGTTTTACTTAACACATGCTATTTTTTTTAAAGTATGTATATAAAAATATATTTTTACGTGTGCATCTAGATATTATAATTTGTCTTTATGTTTTTCGTGTGCATTTAGAGTTAGTTATACCACAATTTTGTCGCGTAACTGAGCTTACAATATACAAACTATAACAAACAAAATTAACAAAAGTTCAGTTTAGAATACAATTATCTTCATGAGAATTGAAAACTACTGGCTATGAATAGTAAGGGATGAAATATAGATCAGTTTATCTAATATTTATGAAAACATGTATAAAATAAGGGTTTGTTGTTTGTCATTTTAAATGACATAAGTTATGTTATTTTAGAAGAGAGATAGACACAAAAAATGAAAATCTTGGGAGAAATAAAGTGTGTGGTTTTTTTAATTTAAATTTTAAATAAAAAAATTTATTTTGTGTCTATCTCTCTCTTAAATTGACATAATTTTATGTCATTTAAAATGATAAACACTTTTCTCATAAAATAAATATGTAAAGCTTATATTTTTTTTTTTCTGTTTACATGGATTCACATGAACTATATATTTTTTATGTGTATTTTTATGAATATTAGATAAAATTATTTAAAAGAATTTTAAAAATTTTAAACCCAATATAAATACTTCCCGACGCATCCATGGACCCCGAGACAATGAGCACAGGATCCTTACACGTGTCCAAACACCGCCACCTTAAAAAACAGTCTCATTCATGTCCTCCTTACCCTTTAGTTTATTCTCTCTGTTACAAGTTCCAATAAACAACACCTTGATTCATTTCAGAGTTATTATATTTATGTTATATTTAAAAAAATTATTATCTCGTGTTATAAAAATAAAATTATAAATGAGATTTATATGTAAAAGAACAGAAAAAAAATAAAAAAATACTTCTCTCCACTTTATGTATATAAGAAGCTTATTTATTTTATGAGGTAAGATTTTTTACTCTTATTTGCAAGCACATGACACTATTGATCTTTTTTTATCTAGCAGCTCTTGGATAAGCTGTCAAATTTCAAATGTAACACTGATATCAAAAATCTTACCTCTTATTTTATAGAGTGAATATCTTTTTTGGTCCTCGACAAATTTTACGATACCCGCTTTAGTCTCTAATAATAAAAAGGCCCATCGTGGTCCCTAAAAAATTCAAAAGGGACCTTTTTAATCCTTTTGTGGGACTAATATGAGTCTTTTTAAATTTGCAATGGATCACAATTTCAACTAAATAGGTCCTTTTTTAATTTTTTAGAGACTACGATAGGCATTTTTATTTGCTAAAGACTAAAGCGGATATTGTAAAATTTGCTCACGAAGAAAAATGATATTTACTTTTATTTTATATTACACATGAGATAAATATAGCCCGTAATTTCAACGGTCTCATAAAAAACACAACCCATGTTTCCCTCTCTCTAGTCTCCACTCCAAGTCAAACATCTCACTCCCTTACCTTAACCATCGCACTTACTAATAAATAATAATACCATACAAACTACTGTGCTCGTTCATTAACTTCCGAAAACGATGTCGGAGATTCTCGACGGTTCCAAAAGTTCGGCGAGCAAGTCGTCGAGAAGCCTCGGCGAGTTACCGGAAATTGCCGCGGTACGAGTGGGAATCGATCTCGTATCGGCGGCGAGGCGAAACATCGGGTTTCTGAGGAGCGTGGCCTATTCTGAGTGGCTTCACCACACCCCCATTGTGGTGGAAGCCATACGAAGGTCATTTTCTTTACAATAATACAGCTTTCCCTGTCTTGTTCTTAATCTCATCTGACGGTGGAGCGTTGTTTACAGGTACCATGATTTGTGGATGCCGTTGATTTCCGATCTGACGGTGCCGGAATCTATCCCTCTCATGATTCTTCCTCCCTTTGATGTCGAGTGGGTTTGGTTTTGTCACACTTTGAACCCTGTGAGTTCATTATCATTTTTAGTCACTGTAATCGTTTCATTAAAAAAAAAAATCTAATTATTTTTTTCTTCTAAATAATTAAGGTAAGTTACAGGGAATACTGCGAGACAAGATTCTCGAAACTCATTGGGAGAGCGGCTATATTTGATGAAGAGAATAGAGAGTATGCATTGATGCGATGCAGAGAAATTTGGAGCAGTAAATATCCATTGGAATCGTTTGAGAATGAGGCGAGTTTAGATTCACGTGATTCGGATCCCATGATTGTTGGGGGGAGCGAGGATGTTTTTAAGGAAGTTGAAAAGCAAAGGTTGTTGTGCTCCAAGTTTGCAGAGCCGTATAGGTCTGAGGTAGTGTACTTAATATCCGCAAGACAGAGGTACAAGGCTTTCTTGTATATGTTGCAAAGGTTCGCTCATGAATCTTCTTCCCGTTTGGTACCTACTTCGGACATTTTGTTAATGTGGCTGACCCACCAGGTGAGTTTGTGTTTGACTTTAATTTCATTTTCTTTTTCTATGGGGTTCTCAAATTTTCATTATCTCTTACATTTTCTTTCTCCTCTTAAATGCTTATGCAGTTCATAATTTCACTTTGTATACCGTGAGTCTTAAATTATAATAGCTTTGGAGCCTTCGTAGTCATGGACCCTATATTTTTGTTTGTTATGTGTCTTGGTTCTCTTTCTCAGCACAACGGCCGAACCCGCTGGCTATTCCTTCGGGTGAACGGAAGTGCTATGAACCAAAGTACGCGAAGTCTTCGTATGAAAATAAACTGAAATTTGGAGAGACAAAAACAAGGAGATATCTTTAGCTGTCTTAGAGGAAGAGGAGACACTCTTTTAACCCCTAAACAAACATTTTATGTACTTGATTTAATAACATAAGTGTAGATACACTCAATTGAACATTGAGCCAATGAGTCTAGGCATAAGTGGTAGAGCACGAGCTCCTTTTTGTAATCAATGGCTTCGAACTAGAGCAGGGGTTAACTTTCTCCTCATAGATCTCCTTACTCTTCACCAAGGAGGCACCAATCTTCCACCTCAGTTGCATATGCACCATCAGAAATAAATTTACGTACTTACCCATTTGTTCTTTTGGTAACTTTTTCCCCTAGTACGTTCTCTCAGTTCCCCTTTTCTGACACTCTATTATACTACTCTCAATTTTATTTTAAATGGAGTAGAGCTACCCAACAGTGTATGTGGAAGATTTGAAAGCATTGGCCTTAGACGGTGATGTGCAGAAGGTGGCAACTCTGTCTGAAACCGTGAAGGAAAAGGAGTTTGAAGAAACCAAGAAGTTGTGGGACAGGGCATTTAATCAACCTTATGAGAAAGCTGGTGGAGAGGTTCCTTTGACATGGGAAGGTGTTATCTCAGTCAAGTCCCCAATCTACTGGGAGGAATCGGACACAGATGTTAATACAAAATACAGGTCTATGATTCCAAGATTTTTACTCGAGGTCAATTTCATACTCTCTTTCTCTCTCCGCCTGCTATTGCTATTGTTGACTTTCCTTTAATACTTGATACTGGGGTTGCTCTCTTTTTGTTGTAAATGATCCGAAGTAGTTTGTGTGATTATTGTTAGGAGACAACATCATCAACCTGGTTGTAAAAACACTTGAATCTTATAGAAACATTCTTTTGCTTGAATTTGCCTAAACACGAGGATGATATTTAATACTCCATTCAGTCTTTTCTGTTTGTAATATTTTCATACATGTACGAGGAAGCTATAAGAAGCTCATATCTGATTTTGTGTATATGTGGTGGTGTTGCAACAATAGATAACATATTTCAAACAATCTTTGTTCAGAACATCATGGACATATATGAGTATTGCTAAAGAATGAAGTGCTTCTAGTTTTCATAATGCAGGTCTGCGTGTTTGTGAGGCTTAAGCCAGGGACAAAGGCATTGCAAAAGGATATAAACCGTGATTTCCTACGCCTCCGAATCAAAAGGTGTCATAGCGAGCTAAAGCTAGACAAATCCTTATCCAATTTCCCCTTTGATTCATGGAAAAAAGCTTGGCATCTTTACTGTGAGTTTGGGACTAAGGGAGTTATGCTTGAGTATCGTCGGCATGGTGGTAACTGTCTAAAAGGAAGTAAGCTGCAAGACACTGTTTCTTTCCGCTGGAATGATTTATTGAGAGCAGATTCTCTAACTTTAGAAAAGGAAGTTAGTCAACAGGTGAATGTTGTTACATCAATAACCCCACCAGTTCAAGCTCCATACTTGTTGAAATGTGTGCCAGATCGAGTCACGGATGATTCTGGGGCGATGATATCTGATGTGATTCTGAAGATGAATAGTTATCATCCACAAGAAGGGCGATGGTTGTCTCGCACAGTTCTTGATCATGCAGGGAAAGTGTGTTTTGTTATTAGAATTAGGTAAACTTTCAGAACTCTGCCGTGCTATTGTGAAATAGTTGGTAGAGTTAATACAGTGATTCCATTTTGTGCTTACTTACAGGCAAATGTTTGAATTACAGGATAGGAGGAGGATTTTGGAGAAGAGGAGGTGAAACTCCTTCGGCTGTAAAATGGGAGGATAGGATTATAGAGATACGTGAAGGATCTTGGTATTATGTTGCTGGTTCCATTGGTAGAGCCCCTGGTATGTTTTATGTATCTGTTCCATGAATTTAGTCATGGTGATTGTGTTTAGTCATAGCTTCCTTATAGCCCACCTTGCAGGCACTTGGACACTTAATGAGTCAGAAGACAAACTTAGGAAGTAGGAACCAACATTAGTGTGAATAATTTTAAAACTATACTTCTTTCTAACAGAGAAAAAATCTCAGCCTGTATTACATGTTAAAGATAGATACCCCTTTAAATTGGTTTTATTCTACGACATTGCATTTGCTTTGATCCTGTCTCTTTCTTTATAGTTTACCTAGATTAGGTCTTGTTAAGTAATGCTTTGAGAACAGGAAAATTAAATGCCTTAACTGCATGTCTTCCTGTCTCCATTTTGATACAATGCCTGCTTGACAACAAAATCATTGGTTGTATTATCCTTCTTCTTTTTTTTCCTGTCTAGTACAGAGAAGGTGGTGGCCACTGCAACACCAAAGGAACCTGCGGAACAATGGGAAGCTGCATGGTGCTTTTCAACAGGAGATGAATTGATTATACAGTGGGAGTCATCACTATCAGTATCAGGTCTTACCTTTAGTTTGAGAAATCAATCATCCCAAGAGTCATCGGTAGAGTGGAGAATTCCCTGAATATTATCCTGAAATCAAGTGTGAATTTTGCTTCTTTAAGTTGGCCTAAGTTACAATCACCAATTGCAGGTGAAGTTATTGAAAGGGAGGCAAATGCAATATCAAGCAAAGAAAATAAAGTCAAAGAGCAAAAGTGAAGAAATAAAAATCGAGTTAGAGGATAAAGAGATTGAGGAAGAGGAAGATGAAGAGGGTTTTCTAACACTAGTCCGTTTCACAGAAGATGACCCTGTTGGAAAAGCAACTGCTCTTCTAAACTGGAGGCTATTAGTTGTTGAAGTATTGCCGGAAGAAGATGCAGTACTGATGCTTCTCCTCTGCATTACAATACTCAAAAGTGTATCAGAAATGAGAAAACAAGACTTGGGAGGCTTGTTGGTAAGGAGAAGATTAAAGGAAGCAAGGCTTGGAACTAGGGACTGGGGTTCTGTGATACTTCATCCATCTTCATGGTCATCATCCATTGATACAACTTATCTTCAACCTTGGTATTGTAATGCTGGGACTGTTATGTCATATGATGAGATAGATCAGCTCAAAAGACAGCCACCATTAAGTCAATCACCGGTGGAAGGCAGTGACAAGTTATACAAGCATGGGATTATAAGTTAAAGCCTGTGAAATTTCAGCTTGGTAACGTTTGTCTGGAGCATAACATAAATTGAAATAAAAATTTGTTTAAAAAATAAAATAAAATATAAATTGGTTTGATTGTGAAACTGAATTTATTCAATTTCAATCGAGTTTAACTGAATTTTATTTTTAAATTAAATTTCTTTATTGATTCTATTTGCTGTGGTAATTTCTAAAACTAGATTTTTTTTATCGTTTTAATTTTTATGTTGGGGTTTTTAGATTAGATATGCCAAGTTGGGCAAAAAAAATTAATTTATTGCTTTTTTAATAAAAAATTACGAATATGTAGTCGTTTTGAAAAAAATTACAAAACTATAGCAATCAAACACGTCCACATGGGGCGTGTTCTCGAGAGACACGCCCATGTGGGGCGTGAGCCTCTGAAGATAACACGCACACCTTGGGCGTGACCAGGAGAGAGACACTCCCAGTGGGGGCGTTAGGGGTGTTAACGGGCCAAGCCGAGCTTTGGTCTTAAAAGGCTAAGCCTGTGATTAATGTGTTGGTCTTACCAAGCCTGTTACCTGTTACGAATATAATTATCGGCCTGTGTCCTGTCTTATTTACAAAAAATAAAAGCCTGATTTGACCTGTTAGCCTGTTAGAAAAAAATAAGACAATAAAAATTTATCCAAACAGAATATACAATCAACAACACTAGTAATTCCATAAATATTCATAAATTGAATGTATATCGAAACAACATAATATAGAACAAAATCATTCAAAAAGTCTATTTAACTAATAATATAGGGGTGAAATGGATTGAGAGGAGAGAGAGGGCTATTACAAATAGTATAAAAAATATAAATATAAATAAAAATTAATATACCAGGCCAGCCTGAGAGGCTCTAAGGCTGAGCTTTTGAATTGGAGCCTGAGGCCTTTTTACTAAACAAGCTTTTATACAAGTCCAAGCCTGGTTCCAACAACCAATATTAGGTATGTAAGCCTGAGCCTTTACGAGCCGAGCCAAAGGTCCCAGAAAGGCCCCTGGCTCGTTTATCACCCCTAAGGGGCGTGACCTCCCTGGTCTATAAATAGGCCTTTTTTTCACTTTTTCCCTCATTTCTACCTCCACTTCCTCTTTCTAAACCACTCCTCCACCTTCTCTCTACATTTCTTCTGGAGCGTTTTGCGCAGCGAAGCTCTGTCTCTCTCTCATGTAAGTCCCTATTTATTGTTTATATTTTTTATTAACAACAATAAATATATGATAGTTATTAGTGACTTAGATAATTGTTAGGGGGTTAGAAAAATATTATTGACCTATGTAAGAGAATGATTAGTGACTTAGGAATTAGATATGGACTTAGAAATTAATTAGGGTATTCTAAATTGGTATATGCTGGTGATAGGACTTATTTACACACTTAGAAATTAGTTTGAGAATTAATAATTTTTTATGAATGACACTTGCAAACATATTGACCTTTCAATTAACCACATTATAATTAGGGTTTGTAAAAAAAAATACCGTATGCAATATTACTTTAAATTGAATTTGAATTATTTAATCTATTCAAATATATTTTTAGAATAATGTAATGTTAAATTAATTAATTTTGATTGATGTTAATTTAATTGAAATTAATATAACAATTGAAGTAAGTTAAATGCTATTTAATTGAGTGCAATTAAATTTTATTTAGCGTAAATTAATATAATCTCAATAGTAATTTGGGTATAATTTTTTCATTTGTAGTAGTATTCTATTATGGCCCATTCGTCTTCGTCAGAGTCGTCGCGCTTTGGATCCGATGGTGATGCTGAGCCATCCGATCTTTGTACGCATGTACTTCCTGGACCATATAGGTGGGAGGTACTCCGTAAGAGGACACAACGCACTCACGTTTCACAACTTGTGTGGAACGAGGATAAGGTCAGGGGATTAAAGACGAGGCGAGGGAAACTTCAGGGGGGCCCCGTCATGATGATATACCAGACGTTATCGCTGACTATTTGACACAGGCTGAGTTCGTACATGCGGCACGTATGAGTCATATTCAGGTATGTAAATTTTATATTACTTAATTAAATTACCGTATGTGGACTTTGTATAATTGTTGTTTTACCTTCAGATCGATACCGCCTTGATCAGTGCTTTGGTTGAGCGGTGGAGACCGGAGACACATACGTTTCACATGATGCAGGGAGAGATGACCGTTACATTACAGGACGTGGCTGGTATACTTGGTTTGCCTACTGACGAGCAGGCAGTTACCGGACCTACAACTTTGGATTGGATCGCTGTGTGTCAGCATGTTTTTGGGTCTGCCCCTGTTGCGGGCACAGACATTCACGGAGGCGATCTACGTATTTTATACTTAGACAGAATATATCCCGATTGGTTTCCAGTAGCACACAATCCTGATGAGGTGAGGCGTTACACCCGGGCACACATTTTGCGGCTATTAGGCCCATGGCTACTGTGTGACAGATCGGGTGGCAGCAAAATTGCGTGTCGTTACGTTCCACTGCTAGGAGGGGACTTTCAGGACATTGGCACATACAGTTGGAGGTCCGCGGTTCTCGCCCATCTCTTTAGACATTTATGTGTGTCAACAAACCCGCAGACTGTTAATATGGGTGGTTGATTGCTCTAGATATGGGCTTGGATTAGATTCCCCCCATTGCTCCACCTCTTCCGCAGCCTACCCACCCGGACTGGCATTTCGGTCACAGGTATATATTATTTGTAATTGTCTAATTCATTACATGTTCATTTGCCGTATGAGTAACGAAATTTGGTACACATTTTGTTACAGGTTTAATTCTCTAGCTCCCTTTAAGCCACATGAGCAGTCTTGGTATCGGGCAATCCATGACACGCTTTATAGAGACAAGGTTTGTTATCTATTTAGTAATTGTTTTTATATTTTTTACATCTTATAGTTTGATTAATTGTGTACCTGTTACTATTTTTTTTTTTGTATGTAGGTTGTGTAACAGCCATACGATGAATACTATACATCATTGTTAGTATATGATCATGAACGGTACTTATGGTTGGCCATTACTCCTATCATTTGCTTTCACGCAGTTGAGTGCGCTCAACCGGATAGATGTTTGCGACAATTTGGTTTCGATCAGCCCATACCGCGGAGACCAAGAAAGCTTAAGGGTTTTCATGATCTAACTTTGCGAGGGAAGAAAGACGATAATTGGGAGCGTAAATTGAGGCCCTTCATACATCGATGGACGATCAGGGATACGTCCATACGTGTTCCCCCTGTACTGGTCGGTTTGATGTCCCCGAACCATGAGTACCTCCACTGGTACAGACAGCTAGGGAAACAGTTCGTCGCCAGGAGAGCTGCTAGGGTTGGACGAGCAGTAAGTTTTGACACTTAAATTTTGAATATGATTATGTGTTTATACATTTGTAATTAACATATGTTGTTTCATTTCTTTATAGATTGATGGGTTGGAGATGCTATATTTTGCGACTACTGTGGACCAGTTCCCCGCCTTTGGATGTAAAGTGTTGGTTAACAAACAACTTTTCCCCCAATTGCCATGGACCCTGGATTGAACCCGAACTCTGCGTCCATGATTGTGCCTCACTCCAATGATCCCAATCAATATATGTGTAATGTGGAATTTCAGACCAAAAAGGATCAACAGGTGCATCGCCTACATTTACTACGTAATAATAATAATACAATTGAATTATTTTCTTAATCAAAAATCGCAACAACCAAACTGTCAGTATATTAATTGATAGCATACCTTCAGGATGTTATGGTATTTGACTCGATGTTGTGTCATGATGTACAACGATACGAGACTCCCCCAAATCATGTCATGGTTGAAGTTCAGTACCAGACCTGCCACATTCTTCGTCATTGTCCAATGCACTCGCATCCTCTGCAAGAAGACGATCCTCCATTACAATATTTTCCTCATCATCTTCGTCATACTCCTCATCCATAACCCAAGTAGGGTCATGTTCATCTTCCTCAGACATGTTAACAGCAGGAGCAGCAGATGAGGATGCATTAAGAGGAGAAGTAGACCTAACCGACCTCATTGGTATAACAACTTCCTCCGCGGTGATAGTATCCACATACAATTCTAAGAAATCCTTTCTGAACTGGTTCAAGAACTCTTCCATTACCATATAGATGTCTTCGTCATCGACCACTTGCAAGCTAATGTATTGTTCACATTGCCATAATCTTGCCTTGACTAGAGTTATTGATTGGTTGTCTTGAAGACATATTTTTGACGTATTTTCTGATGCAGCTCCGCAACCGTTGAGTTCCGTTTAATACGTGATGACCTTTTCTCCCCTACAAAAACAACACCACGATGACCTTCGTCTTTCCTACCGTTTAATACGTATTTTTTTTTCTTTTTTTCTTTTGGGTGACAATAGTCTTGTAATATTGTTAATACTTTTTCGTATTTAATATCTTTCTGAATACATAATATAATAATTTTTTTTTCTAATTATACTTTACGTTATTCATAAAGACGAAACGGCTACATTACTCACAATAATATAATGTTACAAAGTTCAATTGCAATTTATCCTTTAACTTGCAATTGACCAAAGTGGAAAGGATATCAGATTTTGTTGTACTGGTTTTAAAATTTTAACATTCATATATTTGTCTTAAAGTTACTAACGTATCATGAATAGTCTGGATAATTAATATAGTTAACACATTAAGATATATACAAGAAATTATTTACTATAAAATACCAAATCAATGAAAATTTGCATTCAATTGAATTTACTACTTCTCCATCTTTATAATTTTCATTCATCTATTTTTATTAATTTATATTTATTTTTTTTAAGAATTGTACAACTTATCTGGCAAAAACATTAATTTATTGCATTTTTAATAAAAAATTACGAATATGTAGTCGTTTTGGAAAAAATTACAAAACTATAGCACTTAAACACGCCCACATGGGGCGTGTTCTCATGGAGAGAGACACGCCCATGTGGGGCATGAGCCTCTAAATATAACACGCCTATCTTGGGCGTGAGCTT